TCATTTAGACGTATGGAACCCTAAAAATAACTACATTTAAAAAAATTGTAATAGAGTAAAAGCTCTTTATTCGTTCGGGGTATACGTTCCATAAATATGCCGCGAATACAAAAACCCTGGATATGGAATGGTAATTAGTATGGAGTCATAAGGGATACGTACTAAGGTTCCAAAATAAAACCAATATGTAGTAGAATATAATCAATATATTGAGAAATTCGCAATTAAAATTGATAGTTATAATCACTTTTAGACAAGGGTTTAAAAAATTTAGTCATTTTTTCTTGTTTTGAATTTTGAATTGGTCCACTCGGTTGTATCTTTTATAAAAGTCGCCTCGACACGAGCCAAAAGTACTCAAAAGATGCTGATACGTTGAAAAATAAATCCTTTTCTACTCGGTTACATTTTTTATAAAAGCTTTTTATACTAACCGTACATACTCGATACATTAAGGGGATTCAGTAGTACACGCGCCGTAGAGTAAAAACATGCTTATCGGTTCTAGATATCATGAGTTTAATATTTGGAACAGGAGTTTGAAATTTTGTAGTAAGATAGATAAAGCTTTGTTCTAAAGCTTGTCGAAGGCCATTTTTTAATTTTTTAATTTCTATTGAAAATACGTGTCCTACAAGAAGCATCAACTTTAAGCACTTGTAAAAGCTTTTAATGACCATATTATTGAAAACCAAAAACGTATCGAGTTAGTGTGAACCTTTGTCTGTTACAATACAAAAAATTACATATTTATCGCAGCGTTAACTCATCACGATGTTTAGAATAGAAATCCATGTTTTCGACAGAATTCACACTAGACACGAGCGGTCTACTGCGGTCAATCCCCTTAACAAATGACAGCGAATCCTTTTCTGTTTACCAATTGAAACCGCGAATAATGAAATTTTTAACCGCGAATACGGGAACTGGGTTGCAATTTTTTCACCCGCGAATAATGAAAACGCGAATAAGGAAATCGTGAATAAAGAACTTTTACTGTAATATCAACGTAATTTAGCATACTACAAGGAAATTATTCATTGTATATTTCCTTTACGTTATTATCAGAAAGATGGTTTACTTACAGGCAATATTGTAAAATACATCCACATTTTTCCA